CAGAAATAGGGAAATAAATTTTTACAACGTCATTTACGTAGCTGAGTTTTTCAATAGTAATGAGGAGACAAAAAGAAGAAAAGGTAATAGAACCTTCTTGCGTTCTGACTATTGATGACGATAACCTTTATATAACATATAGGGAGAAAGAGAGACGAATGTCTATGTTCAATCTAGAACTCGCTGGTTTTTCTCCATTTGAATTGGGTTTGTATATGTATTACTATAGTAAATAAACGGAAGAGAACTATAATTATGAAATTTATCTAAAATGTAAAATCAATAAACAAATTATATATACAAAAAGATTATATAAATCACTAATATTCACACATTAAAATATGCCCGATAGAAGTATGTCTTCTAAAAATACAAAAAAGTAGTTATTCATAACTCAGGTGGCTTTACAAAAGGTAAACGAATGAGCATAAAAGCACAGCTGTTTTTAAAACTTAATATTATGACACAAATTGTGGATATCCATTCCGCTTGTCTATAAAATGAATCAGAAGACTATGCTAAAATATTATACGGCAGGAAAAACGGCAATGTAAAGCAAATATGATGATTTTGTCACAGCATAAGAATATTGCCTCGTAATGTTATATAGCAATTTGTTGTCACAAGTTTATAGTTTTTCGAAAAATGAACTCAGATTTAAATATTTAAACGTCAAATAAAATATAAAAACCTATTTAACCTTATTCCCAGCATTCTTCTTAAACACTGACATAACGTCACAAGAAAATAATTTTAAGAAATCATTACGAAATTCAAAATTTATATTTATACCGGTATCTCAGAAAATAATAATATTTGTATAAAGTACAGTCATATTTTGAGATAAAATCTTCAATTCAGAGCAAAAAACTGAGCACACACAATATTTATTATTTTATGTACTATGTTGTAAAATAAGTATACTCAAAACAAATAAATATTATCTACCAAGTGCTCTACTCCAGTTTAATATCTTCTCCTTCTTCTTCCTTCTTTATAAATAGGCTTAATGCCTGTTTTACTTCGGTTTTGAGCCTCAATTGACGTTGTCTGACCATCTTTTCCTCGGTCGTCCCAATGATCTCCTTCCATTTGGCGATTTGTCTCTTGCTATTCGTACTATTCTATTTTCTGTCATTCTTTCGAAGTGTTGATTCCATTCCGCTTTTTTCTTTTGGTCCACGCGTTTATTTCCTCTAAACCACATCTTCACTTCTTACTCTTTCTCTTAGAGTTTAGTTTGTTATTTTTCGTAAGACTTTCATTTCTGTTGTTTCTAGCAGTCTTTGTGCTTTCGCCGTATCTGCTCTTGTTTCCGCTATGTACGTCATTATCGGTCTTATTGTTGATTTTTATATCCTCAGTTTCATATCAGTTTAATATCAATGCATAAAATATTATAAAAATTTCGTCATAATTGTAAATTTATATTAGGTAAAACCAAATGTAGAGCATATAGTGAAATCTGAATATCTTAGAATAACTTTAACGAATTAGAACATTATTGATAAGGAAGTCAGGCCTATCGCTAAGAAAGTGAGAAAGCAATTGGCAAAAGCAAAGGGTACTTTGTACTAAAGTAGCCGTACTCTAAAGCATGAGCATGTCATTTTCTACTCTTTTAGTAAGTGATAGATCCGACCGTTACTTGATAAAAATTCATTTTATCTAACAATAAAAGATGTATGCGTTTACACGTTATAGTTTGTAACTGAATAAGTTAAGGACGGGAGAAGTGTTTGTCTCAAGTTGGCCATTCAGAATTATGTCTTTATTTTTAATTTGCTAATTTCCATAGATTCTACTTTTCATAGAATCTAAAGGTAGCTTCAGGGCTTTATTATAAATATACTTTTTAAGGAATGAAAATACGTAAATAGAACCTGGAATATGCATGTAACGTAACCTTTGATCTCTGAGACAAACCCAACTCCTGAACAATGGCGCCGATATATGTAGTTAAAATTTTGTACACCTATTTTAACCGTTTATTTCCTTATTATCCATATATGAGTTGTGACCGATATTACAAACTCATTTATTTTTCACAAAGAGACTCTATGTATATTAACTACATTTATTACTATACAAATCTGATCGAAATATTGTCTAAACGTAACAGTATGTAAAATTAAAATTTTTAATGAAAGTAAAAGATTAGCCATATTTTATAGGGTTTAAAGATCGGCCAAATCGGCCTTTTTAATGCCAACTATCCTAATTCCGTCTATAAATATTAGAGAAGGGAATATCCAGAGATAAAGATAGGTACTTTACTTTACTTAACTTTATCAGACATATGCGGTTAACACAAATGTGACGTATATCTAGTGCAGGAAACACATTGAGGGCCAAAGGGCCAAACATAGGCAAACAAGAAAAGAAAAACTTAAAATGAGAGGGGACAAGACCAGTCAGCTAAGGGAATCTTTCAACGGTGTTGAGCTTGGATCTGCTATCTACGTATATAATGAACAATATTACGGCTCCTGACTAAAGATCTGAGCACAAAACTAATTCTAAAATTTGGATCAAAAATACAACAATGGCTTGTATTGTCCGGGTATACCTACACAACAGAAGATTTTTCGTATCATTCAATGGTAAAAATAACAGATGGAAAACGCAGAAGAACGGTCTCCTTTGGGGTAGCGTAATGGTACCTACACTGTATAATATTTACACAACCCATACCAGTAAATACTAGGACTTTTATTATGTAGACGATACATCTATATTGTTGCACAACCAAAAACTTTTGTTGCTGAAGTATAGAAAAATCTAAATCATACTTTAAACACAATAAAAATAGACTATGAATCAATTTTAAGCCAAACTTCAGAAAAAGTCAGATGTCCTGCTTTAATGTCCCTAACAGAGATGCTTTTAAAAATCTAAACATCCAATAGTGTCATGAAATTTTTAAACTCTGGACTTGCTATAAATACCTTGAAGATAGTTTGTATCACACTTTGTCATTCATAGAACATTGTTTAAAACTAAAAGGCAAACTGAGGACCAGAAAAATAATCTCTGCAAACTTGTCAACTAAAAATGAGAAGCATTCTTTCATCCTTAAAACGTAGACGCTTGCACTCTATGCTTCTGCTACCGAATATACCTTGCAAGTATGGATGACACCAACACATATTTAACACGTAGATTTAGCTATAAATTAGACAGCCAAATTCAGCAAATATTAAGACACACACACATCCATACATAAGCTCTGCAATATCGTAGCTATCAATTCACCTAATATCCGAAGATAAGTAGCTAGACTGCTAGAGAATAAAAGATACAAAGTCTAGAATCGCAACATCCACTCAACGAAGTCCAGCTCAATTTATGACTAAAATCGAGAAAAAACTGACCAAAGATTATTGCAAATTTGACACTAACTCCACGTTTATTGATTACATATTACCCCTAAATAGCAGATAAAACATTTAGAAGTATGTAATATTGGTGAACTGGTACATTCTTCTTATATAAATTAAGCATTCTTCCCTCTTTTGTGCACTACTACCAATTTTTACATAAAAATATTTATTTTTGCACTTAAATATTTATTTTAAGATAACCTATCCAGAATTATATGTAGTACAGAGATAAAACCAGAAATAAAATAATAAAGAAGCTGTATACAAGATATCGTAAAACAATGGATTAACTAAAAGTGCTTATTAATCGTATTCTTAAATAAAACGTATAAAGACATATTCATGTTAACAAAATACATTAGGAAATATTCGCATATGAAAAAACACGTCCAACTTGGTAATGAAATCCATTTGTATTTATAAAGCTATTTTTAGAATAGCAGGTACCTACCAAAAACAGGTATTTGGTATTATACATATCTATTACATATTGTCAATATGATCGCCAACATTCATAACGGATAGGCACATCAAGAAGAAGAAAAAGATTACATATTGTAATGCGTATGAAAAGGAGTCCGTATGAACCGTTTAAAATATATAAAATATATATATCAAGAACGCTGGCCTAAGTGCATAGTTGCCAAACTATCAGAGCTTACTTAAACCGATATACTTATAGTTCCAATATACAGTGAAAAAGATCTGAACGACCCCTATAATATATACACGTGAACTAAGCGAAATACATTTACGATACAGGGGTACTTATGAGCTCCAAATTTTATTTAAGAATTATGAAACTATACATCTTAACGAATCGACAGAGCCAATATTATGGAATGGACAAGTGAGCTCCGTATATCGGTGTCCACTTGACCACGGAGCTCACTTGAACCTGAATTTTAACATGGGCGGAGTTCACTTTATGCCGTAGATATATATATATATATATATATATATATATATATATATATATATATATATATATAAATGTTAATCAAATTACCTACTAATAATTTTCATTATCCTGCTAACATTCTTTTCTGTTTCATTTTTATTTTGTCTCCAGATTAACTGGACTAATAACTATGCAATTTATTTAATAAATGACTGAAGATAGAACCGTCAAACGCTGGAACTTTCAATCACTCGGATTGTAACACCGTTTGCCTAAAGCGTCGACTGCAGTCCGTGAAATGACGCATAATTTCAGGCAAACAAAGTAAAGGTAATTGATTTTGACAAGAGCTGTGACTCATAGCTCTTGTCAAAATCCATTACCTCTAATAATGATTTTAATACAGCATTTGCCGGCAATACGTGTAATGACTAGGTTTTTCACCGAATGACGTGTTACACCGATTGCCTACGACATATTGTGTTTAGGACAAGAATTCTGTCGAGTCTGTGAATACTGTTGTATCGGTTTATTTACTTAGAAATGCAATTTATGCGATATGCAATAGCTTGCAATGAAGATGTGAAGTAATAAATCTCATTATGTTGTGTTTAAAGCAACCACACAAATCATTTCAATTTCACACCTTATTTTAATTGGGATTAGGATTTCTCATAGCTCGGTGGTAGTAATAAAGGGAGAACAAATACATATATTTTAAAAATAAAATTTATTCTTTTAACTTTGCATCACCCACGTACAAGCGAACCTTCCTGAACACTGAAACTTTACAATTTAATCGCTATAAAGCCACCAATCCTTTTCGTAACCCTCGTGAACGTGATCTAACAAAGCTATTCTCCTACAATCGCAGTATCTATATGTATCCTGAACCTGTGTCTTCTTTTCTATCAGATTTTCGTGTGTGATGTCTCTCTCAAGGTATTCGCTTAAAAGTTCAGTGGCTCGTTCTAGATCTTTTTGGTTATCTTCAAATATCACAGATTGATTATTCTTTTTCAAATAGTATGCAAATACGTAAGTGTACATAAGTGTCTGTCGACATTGACAAAGTATGTCAACTGCCTTTTTAAGATATTGCACTTCTATCCAGCTCATGTTAAGTTGTTGCATCTCCTCCATTTTCTCCTTCACTGATGCGTATAATTTGTGCTCGAACTTTAAGGACTGCATGTGATTCATGTAGCGATTACAGTAGAAAAGATATCGTTGAAGAGCTGCTCTGGATTTTTCTTGGGCGTCACGGGCTGATCTTGCCTCATCTTCGTCATACCTATTAAAAAACAAGCATTATAATTTGACTAATACACAAGTATTGTGTTAATCTACTGTTTTTCAAACAAAACTTCTTAACGGGCCTTTGGGGTGTAGACTAAATGCAATAAATGCAAAAAAACCTATTCGCCTATTAACTATTCGCTAAATAATTAGGCAATAAGACCTGAAACAATTGATACCAAGAATATTATATAATGAAAAGTATTATTTTAAACTTGTGTAACAAAAGAATTAGTTTTTTACTTTGGTGTGTTAAAATATTTGTTTATAACCGATGACTATCAATCTTTATCATCTGATTCACTATTTTTATTTTCAAAATTATCAATAAAAGCATCGTCTGCATCTCATTTTCAATATTGTAAAAGATTTTAAACAATAAAAGCATCATCTTTATCTTCATTTTAAAGATTGATAATAAGTGGATCCATTACTGAACATACTGTTTGCCATCTAAAAGCACTTTTTGCTAGTAAACAAAAATAAAAAGCAAAATAATCCATTAAACCAACTGTACTGTGATCATCCACTACTCCTTCTCAATAGAAATGAACAACAATGTGCCGAAAATAAGAATATTAAAGTTAATTTTATCTGGGTACCGTCACATACTGGAATCGAAGGTAACGAGGTTATAGACAAAATGGAAAATCATGCAGCAACTAACCCAAACGCGGAAGAGAATATGAAATCTCTACACACCTACCTAAAGGTATATTTTAAAGAAAAGGAAATACGGCAGGATACACGGAAGAACTCCCCTACCAAGCTGTACGAAGTTGATATTCTTCTTCTTACGGTGCCTTATCCTTAAGGACGTTGGCCATTACATTTGCCCACTTAATCTTATTTGTAGCAGCCCTGAATACTTCTATGGAGGTCAAGTTCGTCCATTGCCGTAAGTTTTTAAGCCAAGAGTTGCGTCTTCTTCCTGGTTCCGCAAGACTTCCGCATTTGTCGTATGGCTCATGTAGGATATTCTGAGCATTTTATGGTAACACCAGAGTTCGAATGCTTGGATTCTTTTTTGTGTTGCTTCTGTCATTGTCCAGGCTTCAACACCATAGAGCAAGGTGGAGAAAACATAGCACTTAAGTATTCTAGTTCTCAATGAGATGCCCAGCTGGCGGTTGCATAGAACTTTTTGCATTTTGTAAAACATTGTACGTGCCTTTTCAGGCGTATTCTTATCTCTAGTGAGTGGTCCCAAGTTTCATCAAGATTACTTCCAAGGTACGTTGTTCTTATTACTCTTTCCAGATCTGTTCCGTCGACATTGACCTTCACCCTTCTGTTTTGGTGCTTGCTGATGACCATCGTTTTTGTCTTCTTTGTATTCAATTTCATTGCAAATTCTCTACAGGCTGTCGTTACTCGGTCCATTAAGCGTTGCAGGGCTTCAGCATTATCTGCCAGTATGACAGTGTCATCAGCATATCGCAGGTTATTTATACATTGCCCGTTTATAATTATACCATCCGAGGTGCCTTCCAAAGCTTTCTGAAATATCTTCTCAGAGTAAACATTGAACAGCAAAGGTGATATGACACATCCCTGTCTTACTCCCTTCTCGATATTGATTTTTCCAGATGTTTCGCTTTTTATTCTGATTTTAGCCTTTTGTTCTTGGTAGAGGTTTGAAATGATCCTTAAGTCTTTATCGTCGATATTACATGACCTTAAAATATCTATTAGTTTATCATGTTTCACCAGGTCAAGCGCCTTATGAAAGTCTATAAAACACAAGTATACATCAGAATCGACATCTTTCAACTAGCACACGTATTGAAAAAAGTGCTTCTCTTGTTCCGAACCCATTCTTAAAACCAAACTGAGTTTGACCAGTGTGTTCGTCTAGTTTATTGTATACTCTATTGTGTATTACTCGTAGGAAAAGCTTCAATATATGATTCATCAGGCAAATAATCCTATGGTCTTCACATTTCTTGGAGTTTCTCTTCTTTTGTAGTGGTATAAACACCGATGTCAGCCAATCATTTGGTATTATGCCTGTTTCGTATATTTTGTTAAATATATCTTCCATTACTTCGATGTGTTCGTCTAGTAATAACTTTATTATTTCAATTGGGATATTATCTTCCCCAACAGCTTTTCCGTTCTTTATCTGATTTGCCGCTTTGATATTAACTATCATAAAATTCCAAAAAGTAGAAGAGAACAAGTAACTTTTACCCCCCTCTTCAAAATAAGATCTCCCATTTAATATACAATAGACGATAAAAATTCAATATGCCGACTGCAGAACGAGTAGAAATAATAAAGTGATACTTCGGGAGCTATTCTGCACAACAGGGGTTCGTGATTGAGTTTTAGTAAGTCCACAGGGGTACAGGGAATGAGTTTCCACGAGATCAATGGTGCCATATCAACTATAAAGTAAATAAACGTCTACTTGTAGACGGCTAATCCTTCCAACACCGGACCAAACCAAATCAGAGGGCAAACATCAAGCCACAACGGTTCTTTTCATTTTCTTTTCGGTTTCTTTTACAGCCAAACAAGACATCTTTTCAGAATTCTGCAAGAACACGAAATGTGAGGTATTGTGGATCCAGGAAACCCAGAGAGACCTAACTGCAGCGAGACCGAAAATCTCCGACATGAAACTGATTGCGGAGATACCACACAATAAGCATGGGAGCGCGGTATTTGTGAGAACTCAAGCCATAGTCTCATCTGTGGGAACAACAAATGTACACGGTATAGAGATAATAACCACTGAGATCGGAAAATTCACAATAACCTCGGTATACAAGCCACCAAACCAGCCTTTTATATTTTTACCTCCACGTAACTTCCAATCACAACCCAATCAGCTTGTACTGGGAGACTTTTAACAGTCACAGTTTACTCTGGGGCTATGCAGATTCGGACGCAAATGGAGACGCAGTAAAAGAATGGGCCGAAACAAGTGGGTTCTCATTAATCCATGATCCTAAACTTCCACCATCTTTTCAGAGCAAAGTTTGGAAAAGAGGATATAAGCCGGATATCTTTTTTTCAAGTAATAACGTCGAAGACCGATGTACCAAAGTAGTATATGGCTCCATACCATAACTCAGCATAGACCAATTGGTATAAATATCTTTCCAACTGTCAGATCACAAGCTATTCCATTCAGAAGTAGATTTAACTTAAAAAAGTAAACTGGCAAAAGTATGCAGACATGCTAGATTCTGAGCTGCTACATCTTGAACCAAAAGTAGAAAACTACGAAAAATTTGTAGAGGTACTTAAAAATGTGTCTAGAAAAGCTATCCCCAGAGGATGCAGACAACAATATATTTCCGGGATGTCCAGTGAGTCCAAAGAACTAATGAGAACATACGAAACTCTCTATTCGACCCTTTTAGCCAAGAAACGATTGACTGCGGAGCAGTACTACTCTAACAGCTAAGTCAAGCCAGACAGGAAAAGTGGATTGAGACCCTGGAAAAAATGGACATGACCACAGCCACCTTTACTTCCAAGCCATGAAGTAGAAATTTGGCAACAACGCGTGGTAGTCCGACCGTGGTTTGGTTTGTTTAACATTTCGCATAGGAAGGCTTGTAAAGTTTGTTGAATTTAGTGTTTTTTAAACTTTATTCGAACGTTTTATTTGTAAATTGTGTTTAAATCAATTAGAAAATATTAATATAAGTGAAATTTCATTAAGTTTAGAACTTTTAGAAGATTCTTAATGACAATTTAAAAGGCAAGTATAAATATAACCTACAAAACAAACTGAAAAAATAATACTTTTGTTTTTTGTTACAGATGCCCCGGCATTGTTGTGTACCTGGTTGCAAAACCAATTATTTTGCAAAAATTTTGCAAATTGCAAACCATTAATTGCAAAACCACTGCCAGCCACTACTTTAAAAACGAAACAGGCAGAAAGTACGTTTTCGTTTCCCAAGGATCCCCAAAGAAGGTATACTGGGTTATGCTCTATTCATAGAGAAGGCTATACAATTACCAAATCTTCCGAAGTATGAGCCAAACATTTTCATGAAGATGATATTCAACGGACTGAACAATGACAAGATAAAGATGGAAATGTAGGCATTGAAAAGTTAATATTTCCCAAATTAAAAGACAATGCAGTTCCTAATATATTTCCTGAAGTACCATCATATGTTCGTCGTACTAAAAAAAGAAGAAATCCCGAAGACAGAAGAAACTTTTTGAATAAGAAGAGGGAACAACAGAATTCTTAGACAATGATTTAATAGATTCATTTGAATCATTTTTAAGAGACTTAGACAATAATATCCCATTGAAAACCTGGACAAGTAAAATTACAAGTGACTGTATATTTCTATGTATTAAACATTAATCAGTTGCGACACAAGTGTGATAATATTTGTGTAATAAGTAGTGTAATAGTTGGCAATAATTTTAGTGTAATTGTCAATCTAGGTAGTAAGTAGTAATGATTTGAAATGGATTTTACAATATAGTAAATTAACAAGATGGTCACAATTAGAGAACTTACTTTCTTGATAGAGATCTGCTTTTTAGATAAGTGATAACAAATTTGAGTATTACATTCAAAAATCTTTTGAGAATATAGGCTATTTTAAATCAATATACAAGTTATAAATGGTATGTTACATTCAACACATTTTTCATGTATACCTCTTTTAACATATCCGTACCTCGGAGGTAAAGGACACTATGTCCATTTTCTTACTTTTTAAGGAGAGCAGTTTTAACATTTTTTAAATTTGTAATCAGTAAATACTCAAATGTTTCTGATATTTACTGATTACAAATTTAAAAAATGTTAAAACTGCTAATGTTTCTGATATTTAACCAAAATTAATATATTATATTAATTTTAGTTAAATATCAGAAACATTTGAGTATTTACTGATTACAAATTTAAAAAATGTTAAAACTGCTCTCCTTACATAGTAAGAAAATGAACATAGTGTCCTTTACCTCCGAGGTACTGATATATATTGGGTCTATATGACAAAATTGCTATTTTCGTATACCTAAATATGAAAATTCAACAAAAGTTATAAGTAAATAGTATAATATTTAATTTTCAATTAGATTAATTTAGAACCATATTTATATTGTGTCTGATTTCTTAGGATTAATTTTTTAATCATAATAGTTACACTAAGTTATTACTTAACAAATTTTATATCTTTTGTATTTTTAATAATTTTTTAAATGTCGTGTTAATGATTTGTGTTATTTATATGCTAAGTACTTAATATTTAAAATTTCTAGAGATTCTTGACTGCATTTGATTGCAAGATTAACTATTTGAAACTGTATTTTAAGTGCAATAAATTTTACTCTAGTGATTATTTTATTGATAATATAACCTTAATAATAATAAAATTTTATATATATTTATTAGGTATATATAAGGTTTTATTAATTTAATTTCCCTAAAAATATTTCTGTAATGAATTGAAGTTTTCAAAATATCAGTTTCCTAAAATTCAAATTAGTTTAATTTTCTGGTAGACCTTACAGCTGACTATCGGACTACCGACGTCATAGAATGCGGTGTTGCCTTTTTTACTTCATGGCTTGGAAGTAAAGGTGGCTGTGACATGACACATAGTAGCAAAATAGCATGGAACCTTGTAAAAAAACTTGTAAATTAAAATTTGGTACCTGGAAAGTAAATGGAAGAGGCATGTATGATGTTAAGTTTTTAATTAACAAAGACAGACGGTTGAAATGTTTTGTGTATATATAGAGTTTGATGTAGAACTCTACGAAATAAAAGTATAGAAGAGTTATATTGTAATTTACAATAACTCTTTTTATTTAAAATAAATTACAATATAACTCTTCTATACTTTTATTTCGTAGATTTCTACATCAAAATCTATATATACACAAAACAACTCAACCGCCTTTCTTTGTTAATTAAAAACTTAACATCATACATGCATCTTCCATTTACTTTCCAGTCTAAAATTGCATTCCAAATGCCTTTCACTATGGTCAAAATTCGTAGTGAATTCAATTTCTGGTACTCCAAACGGAGTCTTCTTCTTATAGTGCACCTATAGTGCGTTGGCGAATTATCTTAAGGCCAGACGTCTGTCTTTTGTGACATGCAAAAGATCGCCAGTGTTATTTATGCCTGTCCAGATTTTTATGTTCCGTAGCCACGACATTTGTTTGCGACCTACTCCTATTTTGCCTTCAGTCTTTCCCTGGATGATTAGTTGAGGGATTGCGTATTTTTTTTCCTCTCAGATATAGCCACTACCCTGAATCGAGACAAAATCTAATCCCGTCCTAGACAATAGTTATCAAAATATATCATATCTATTATATACAGGGTGTTTCAAAAAAGGTAACCCCTCTCTAGGGTAGGTAAAAAACTGAAAAATATTTGGGGTTTGCTTAGTAAAAAATTTTTGTAACGCCATCCGTTTTCAAGATACAGGGCGTTGAAGAAAAAAAAATTTACGCATTTTTTTAAGATTTTGCCGAAACTACTGGCAACATTGTAATGAAATTTTATACGAATATGTTTTGGAAGCTGATACATCCCATGAATTTGTTTTTATATCTGATTCTCATAAAGGGCGCTAGTTACACGGATCGTGCTAAATATTAGTCAATATAACTTTTTAAGAGTATAATTATTAATCAAAATTCCAAGTAAACTTAAACATCATTCAATTTTACACGAAAAAGGTACTCTTGGTAAAACTCGATACTGTGTACCGTTTTCGGAATATTTTGATTTGAAAATTCTGAAGTAATAATTGATACTGGTAGTAATGATAAAGTTCTAATAGGTATACCTCTATTTTTTCCAAGTGTGCCATGAAAATCTGACATTTATTGATTGTTACGTTACAGAAAAGTTTCCTAGAAGAAATTTACCAATTAAAAAAACATTTAGAGCCGTTGAAGAGAAACTTGGAATGTGAGACCAAATAAAATATAAAAAAAAGTGATACATGCTATAGAGCCAGCTGTAGGAATTATTTTCCTTGTGGATTTTTTTTTAAATAAAATAAATTCTGGTACACCAAGAACAACAAGAACAATTAATAAAGAAAATAATATTTTAAATTTACTTAATCAAGATCCAACAGTTGGCGTAAGGAATATAGCAAGACAAACAAATACTTCTTCTTCAAGTACTTTGCGGAAACTGAAATAACAGCAATTACATCCTTATTATTACAGACAAGTCCAAGAGCTCTTGCCAGATGATCTACCGGTTAGAGTGGATTTTTGTGAAACATTGCAACAAAGGACAGCCCACAATCCAAATTTTTTTAAATGCATTCTTTTTACGGACGAGGCCATCTTTACGCGACAAGGTGTGTTTAACTCCCATAATGCACACTACTGGTGTGATGAGAATCCACGAGTCAAAAGGGTATCACATAACCAACATTCATTTAAAGTTAATGTTTGGGCAGCAACTTTAGGTAACAAATTAATAGGTTATCATATTCTACCTGGAAATTTAAATGGTGATATGTATCTTGATTTTTAAACAATTCCTTATTCGAGATATTAGAAGATTTAACGCTAAACGAGCGAAGATCTTTATTTTTTATGCACGATGGAGCCCCACCACACTTTGATAGGTGTCGTAATTGATTTAGTAATCATTTTCCGAATCAATGGATTGGTAGAGGTGCAAAAGCTCCGATTCATTGGTCTCCTCGGTCATGCGATTTTAACCCTTTGGACTACGCAGTTTGGTCGTATATTAAGGAAAAAGTCTATGCTACAGAGATAAATTCACGTAAGAATTGGAAGAAAGAATTCAACGTCAATTTAATGACATCATAGCTTATCCTCTACCGTTTAGAAGTTTAATGGAATCTTAAAGAATAGACTTGTGTATTGGCTAAAACGAAGGGCATTTTGAACACTTACTGTAATTAAATTTTATTTTATGTTCTTAGTCATTAATTTAATTTTCTTCTTGTGAGTTTTGTTTAATTACTAACTATTTTATACCAGAATCAATTATTACTTCATAATTTTCAAATTAAAATATTCCGAAAACGGTACACAGTATCGAGTTTTACCAAGAGTACCTTTTTCGTCAAAAATTGAATGATGTTTAAGTTTTCTTCAAATTTTGATTAATAATTATACTTTTAAAAAAGTACGATCCGTGTAACTAGCGCCCTCTATGAGAATCAGATATAAAAACAAATTTATGGGATGTATCAGCTACCAAAACATATTCGTATAAAATTTCATTACAATGTTGCTAGTAGTTTCGGCAAAATCGTAAAAAAATGCGTAAATTTTTTTTTCTTCAACGCCCTGTATCTTGAAAACGGATGGCGTTACAAAAATTTTTTACTGAGCAAACCCCAATTATTTTTCAGTTTTTTACCTACCCTAGAGACGTGTTACCTTTTTTTGAAACACGCTATATATCATATATACGACGAGATTAGATTTTGTTTCGATTCAGGGTAGTGGCTATGTTGCTCTGAGGAGACCTAAAGAGGTCGAAATAAGCGGCTTGCCGCTGCTCTGTATCGAAACAAAAATCTAGTACCGTCATTATATTTTATTTCTTTACTCCGTTTGTAGTACCAGAAATTGAATTCACTACGAATTTTGATCATCATGAACGGCATGTGGAATGCAATTTTAGATTCCCTTGTCGAAAAAAAATTTGAATTCGATTTCGCCAGGTAGAAATCGTATGATTTCTCTTCTTGTTATTAGATGGCGTAGTTACGTCCGCATATAGTTATTTTGATAACTATTGTCTACGACGGGATTAGATTTTGTTTTGATTCAGGGTAGTGGCTATACCTCTCTCAGGAGATATAAAGAGGTCGAAATACTTGCTTGCTGCTGTTCCATATAATAGTTTCATCACAAGGATTAACATAATTTTCATGCTATACCACACTTCAACCCAACATATTGATGTTTGTTACTGTTATAAGGAATAATAAATTTAAAATTTTAAAACTTCATATATAGATATTCATTTGGCACATTGTTGGGTGACACATTAAGATACATACTACAAGTTATGTTGACTGCTTTGTTCATACATCCGTTCAAAAACTGTCATTTTAATTAGCTGCCATCTAAAATCCATTCAGACAAGATCTGAGGCTTAGCAAGAACCCTTACTGGGAGTCTTACGTTACCATACAGAGTATCTGTTAAATACTTGAACATAACAACATATTGTGTAACGTTTTAAAGGTTTTTACCCAGATATTTAGTGGCTTGACTCAAAATTTAACCTTTATGGTTGCTTTCACCAAAGTGGTAATACTTATTCCAGGTAATATTACAGTGATGATAAACTTTTTAGTCCGAAAACGTTGTTTTGTAGTCCGAAAGAGTATTTTTAAAACATTTGGAAAATATTATGATAAATGAAAAAAAAAAACACAACTGTAACTACCGATACAAACTTCATAAATAAATAAAAGTGTTTGTTGGTTAGAATGTGTTCTTGATTTGATCATAGAGCAAAAGCATAAAATGCTATATACAACAAGCACAGATAGTTGTAGGAAGAAGATTCTTCCATTATATTCACCTATTACAGTTGTACCATGAGCTCCCATGTGGCTCCCAAGGTCCCAAGCACACCCAGCAAAAATCAGCCTTGCAGTTTTGATTCTTACAAATCATATGATTGCAACCGCCGTCTTTTTCAATAGTAGCGTTACATTTAGGACACTCTTTGGTATTGGCGGCGATCCAATTAGAAGTTTCAGAATCATCATCACACTTCTTCTTCCATTTCTTCAAAAGAAGACATTTGACGGGATCGTGCCAGCTCTCGCCGCAAGCAAAGCAGAAAACGTTGCCACAACGGCAGGCTACCGGTTTTGAATCCACATAAGAAACCTAAAACAAAACAAAAATTATTAGTTTTAAAATTACTCTTATAATTACCATTACTATTATCTTATATGTAGGAAATATTTCTTATATTATACTCGGTTCACAATTTGTTGATAGCTCACTACAAGTTTAATCCTAATTAGAGAACTGAAATACAGAGAGGATAGGTAATACGATATAATAGTAAAAATCAACCTGAAACTGACGATTTAAGATGTTTTCGACTAACCCACCTTGTATCTGCCGGAATACAATACAGCGGTCAAGCTTATAATCCGATTAGGAACGTATTTTGGCCGACCAGTGTCGTAGAGTATATGATTGAAACATTTATTTGAACTAAATAAATATATTTTTTAAATTGTATTTTTGTTTTAATAAAACATAATAAAATAAAATATTTTATTCAAAAATAAAGTTTTTTGCCATTTGTAAAAGATACATTTATTTAATTAAGGGGAAAGGCACCAAATGTGTTTTAAATGTATCCATTATTTTCGAATTCGGAGAAAACTAATAAATATTTTTGAAAAACTTAAAAGCAGAATGAAAGATTACATTATTACTGAGGGTATTATATATGTGTATACTGATGTATATTACAGAAAGTCCCTGAAAACTTCTACAATGTTTATTTTATTATGTGATGCAACAGGGGTGAAAATAAAAGAGAGAATATAGTATAATTTTTAATTGAAAATATTGCATGCAAAAGAAACTTTTTATTTATTCTAATAAATATTTTATTCTGCCTTTAAATTTTTCCAAAAAGGCTTTTTAGTTTTCTCAGGATTTGAAAAAAAATCGATACATTTAAAACACATTGAACATTTTGACAGGCGACGTTTTGCGCCTTTCCCCGTTAATATCTTACTTATCAACTTCGGAATCCGAGTCGTCTTGAGGGTTAATAATTAGCGGTTGTGTCTCTACGGTCGCATCAATTATGTTATCAAGATCCCACATCTTTTGTTCTTCTTCTATTACATGTCTTACTGCATCTTTCCAGTTTTGTTCTGTAATGTGTTGTAAAGACTCGTATAACAATTCACGTACAGCTTGTATTTTATATGAAGTATTTTTTCTAGCCACATAACTTTTCATTTGTGCCCAAATGAGTTCAATTGGATTTATTTCGCAGTGGTAGGGTGGAAGTCTAAGGACTGTGATGTTTCTCCTTTCCGCCATTTTGTCAACTACGTATTTCTTGAACTTAGATTTGTGTTGCCGGTCAATTTTTAAAAGTTCTGCTTTTACCATTCCATCTTCGTAAGGCAGGTACTTATTCCGCAGCCAGTCAAGAATATCCTGTTTTTTCCACGCAGTCGTTGGAAGTCTTTCTACTAGTCGTGAATGATAAGGCGCATTATCTAATACTATAATTGAATTTGGTGGTATGTGTTCAATCATCTGCACAAAATACTCTTCGAAAACATCAGCTGTCATCTCCTCGTGATAGTCTTTTGTGCTTTTGGACTGAAATTCCAACAAACCATGCTTAACAAATCCTTTTTCACTGCCAATGTGAGAAATTATTAATCTACTGCCTTTACCAGAAGGTGGGAGATACCAGTAGACCAACCTTCCATAAAGGCTTGCCTGGAGCTTAATATATTTTTATCTGACCAAAATTTTTTTAGAGTATGACCTGAGTTTACCCACGATTCATCCTGGTAGAAGATTGGCCTTCCTTCAGCCCGGAATTTTCGTATGGATCTTAGATAATTTCTTCTCCAACATATTATCTCCTCCCGGTCAATCAAAAGTGATTTTCGGTCTGATTTCTCCCACCGGAAATTTAATTCTTTTAAAACTTGCCACAATTTAGTTCGTCCGATATGAGGCAAATCCGGATCATCTCTAACTTCTTGTAAAATTTTATTTAGGTTTGGTATTTCTTTTTTGAAAAAAAATCCATGAATTTTCCTTCGAATACCATTTTTGGCAAATTCATCAAGTTCAATAGGCTTTTCCCTCTCTTTAAGTGTTCGTTTGTGTTTGGGTTAGCTATACCGTGTTTTTTTTCTTTCTGATAGGAACCTATATATAGTTGACTCCCCTACGCCAGTCATGTTGGCACAACTTTCGACTATGTTGCGAACAGTGTTTGTGGGATTCTGAGAAACCAGATCATCGTGAACATTCAGGACAATAGTCTTCTCTCTTGGTGAATAGACAGACTTACTGACTGTACGCAACAGTACCGGTGTAAAACTTGATGATGTTGATGATGAAGCCATCACAAACAATCCAACAAAACGAGCACGAGCGAAAGGTACGTATATGTTCGTAGGTATATGGAATAAAAAATCACTCACGCACTGCATATGATTCGCAAAAGAAATATTCGAGACGCTAATTACTGCCGTAGAAACGGAAACACCGACAAGCCGTAAATTACATGCGATCAAAAACGTACTAAACAAACAAATTGTTTTCGTTCGTAATAACTTCACCCTTTTAAGTTAAGTTTCGAATATAAACTAAACAGACGAGGTACGTGGCCAAATCCGGCATCTATACCCATTATATTATTAAAAATCTGGGGAATTCCATCCTAATTATCTTGCAACCGATAGTACCTTCGGATATAAATACCAGGTTTTCTAGTAAAGTGATTAAACGCGAAGATTAGTATTGAAATATCCAAAGAGATAAGGTATTCTTATTTACAAAATTGTTAATGGTTAAATTATTATTTTTATTAATATAATATAATAACCAACATTAGCCGTGAAAGTTTTAATTGTTTTTTACTAAATATATCAGTATTAAAACATTATTAATATTAATATTAATTTTAATGAATAAACACCTCAGGAACGCCTATGATGATACAAATTTTACGACCGTTTGATGATTTTGAGGCATATTTCGTGCTATCAACAATTTGTGAACAGAGAATAGGTATTTAACATAGTTTTATTTGTTAGTTACGCCACTGCGAGATACCACCAAAACCATATTCTTAAGGCGCCCCAGACAGGTCACCATCGCGGGGAAAGGGGACAGAAAAATATAGACAAAATCACACATGCCTGACCTAAAAGGGATTCGATATTTGGCACTCGAGCTGTGAAGGTGAATTATTGTGCAACGTCCGGGAGAGAAACGACGAAAGACGAGAACAATTAACGGAGGGGTTGTCCGATATTTTAATTTGCAGATAATTATCCGTAATCTTGTAATATTGTGTACCTGTAAATACCATCCGTACAGTTTATTGTTGTGTAATAAAGACGTATCGTTTGGATCGCGGACTTTTATTCTAACGTTAGTTCCCTTTGAAATAATAAAAGAACTTTTAAGTAAGACCTACATATATTATAAAAACTAGAATTTACGATCAGTGTATCCTCCCGATACTCACGTATGGTTCACAGACGTGGACACTCACCAAGTCTAACATGAATAAAATAGTAAAGGCACAAAGAGCGATGAGAAGATCAATGCTCGGGGTGAGACTTATAGATAAAAAAATAAACAGATGGATTAGAAGCAAAGTAAAAGACGCAGGAGAACATGCTGCCAAATTAAAATGGAGCTTCGCAGGACACAATGATCGACTGAAGGATAAAAGATGCAACCACAAAATACAACAATGGAGACCACGGTTAGGAAAGAGAAGCACAGGAAGACCACAAATGAGATGGGTTGATGACATTAAGAAGATTGGAGGACACAACCGGAAGCAAGTGGCGCAAAATAGAAAACACTGGATTGATTTGGAGGAAGCATATGTGCAAAGTTGCATTACGTAAAGCTGAAGAAGAAGAAGAATGGGAACAAGTAAGGCACTTTTTGCGTTAAATATCCTATTACAAAAATGCCGTGATCAAAGAAAATATGTATAAAGTACAGCATGCAAAAATTAATACAGATGCTAAAAAATATAGGAATAGATGACAAAGATATTGGTGTTATTAAAAATCTGTTCTGGAATCAAACTGCTATTGTAAAAATTAGAGATAATTACATTGACGAAATATAGAATACAAGGAAGGCAATTACAATGGTATGGTCACGTGATGAGAATGGAGGAGGAGCGGTGGCCAAAGAATATGTATGTTCCGCCAGAAAGAAGGAAAAGGGGAAGACCACCAAATTCCTGGAGAAGAGAAATTACAAAAACAATGCAATCTAGAGGATTAGAAGAGGGAGATTGGAGAGATAGGAAAGATGGAGGCTGAAATGCGGAAGCGGCAATCGCCGTAGGACCCCCGTTATATGATGATGATGACATTGACGAAATCTCTATACAACGAGGAGTCAGACAAGGTAGCATTTTGTGCCCAACTTTGTTCAATGTTTACTCGGACCAGTTATATAAAAAGACAATTGACAGACAGCCATATGGAATAAAAATTAAAGTGGGAATTACTTAATGTAATTAGATACGCGGACAGTAAGAGAGAAAATGGACATTAAATGGGGTTATAAATAACTCAATCAAAACTAAATTTTTAGTATTTAGTCGCAACCCACATCCAGATGTAGAGCTTCCAGTATCGACCTATTTGCCTTCTGTCATGCATAGGTAAATTATACGAAAGGCTCCTAAGAGGGCGAATAGCTACAGTGATTGAAGAGTCAGGCGGGCAGTCACCCAGTCAGTACGGTTTCAGAAAGAACAGGAGCATGGTGGATGCGCTGATAAGTCTTCCGGGAGTTACGCGGGGTGTGGGTTAACCAGAGGTGGGAAATCCTAATGTTTGTTGCTGTTGTTTGACGTCCGGAATGCTTTCAACAAGTTAAAATGGAAAGAGGTAATGAAGGTTCTACGAGAGAGAAGGTGTCCAAGGTACTTGATGAATTTATTCTCCGACTATTTGTTAGAGAGGAAAATTATCAGAGAGAAAAGAGAGTAGTAGTTGACGTGACGGCTAAAGTGCCGCTATAATTCTCAAGGGCTATAATTCTCAAGGGATCAAGGAAAAGGGACGGGATAACATTTGAATGTGCAGGAAAGAGAGTGGTTCCAAAGAAATGTGTGAGGTATTTAG